AACAGCCTCAAAACCCTCAGCCTTTCCTCATAAGACCTTCCCTCCATACCAGGCAACATCCTGGTAAATCTCCTCTGCACCCTTTCCAATGCTTCCACATCCTTCCTATAATGCGGTGACCAGAACTGTACGCAATACTCCAAGTGCGGCCGCACCAGAGTTTTGTACAGCTGCAACATGACCTCACGGCTCCGAAACTCAATCCCTCTACCAATAAAACCTAACACGCCGTATGCCTTCTTAACAACACTATCAACCTGGGTGGCAACTTTCAGTGATCTATGCACATGGACACCGAGATCTCTCTGCGCATCCACACTACCAAGAATCTTACCATTAGCCCAGTACTCTGTATTCCTGTTACTCCTTCCAAAGTGAATCACCTCACACTTTTCCGCATTAAACTCCATTTGCCACCTCTCAGCCCAGCTCTGCAGCTTATCTATGTCCCTCTGTAACCTACAACATCCTTCTGCACTATCCACAACTCCACCGACTTTGGTGTCATCCGCAAATTTACTAACCCATCCTTCTACGCCCTCATCCAGGTCATTTATAAAAATGACAAACAGCAGTGGCCCCAGAACAGATCCTTGAGGTACACCACTGGTAACTGAACTCCAGGATGAACATTTCCCATCAACCACCACCCTCTGTCTTCTTACAGCTAGCCAATTTCTGATCATGAGGGATACGTGTAAGGTGAATAGCAAGGGTCTTTTCCCTGGAATGATAGGAGTTCAAAACCAGAGGGCATATTTTTAAAGTGAGAGGGAAAGTTTCAAAAAGGGCATGAGGGCCAACCTTTTCACACAGAGGGTGGTTTGTATGTGGAATGAACTGCCAGAGGAAGTGGTAGATGCAGAACCCTTAAGAGTACTGATAGGAGAGGGATTTGGGTGTACAGGTACACAGGTCACTGAAAGTGGCAATGCAGGTGGAAAAGGTAGTCAACAAGGCATACGGCATGCTTGCCTTTCTATAGTATGGTCTCCGCCCTCGCCTATCTACGAAACAGTCACTGTGCAGTGCTCATCAGCCTACGATCACAAACTCTGTGGGCCTATGGAATCCACCAATGTCTCTGTATCTGAGTTGTGTCAGGCTTTCATTCTACTTCTGGCTGCATTGGGTCCAAAAGGTATGACTGAGTTTGGGAGTTTTCTGCACATAATAAAATGAATTTGTATTCTCTATGAAGAGTTTATCACGTATCTCAGTCTGAATTCCATCCTAAAACTCTCCACCTCTCTTAATTTGTGTAAGGTGCATTTAAAACTTACCTCTTGGACTAAGCTTTTAGTCATCTGTCCTAATCTTTCCTAATGTGGTACAGTGACAAAATTTCACCTGAGCAGGGCATTGAGTTTAAAAATTGGCAGGTAATGTTGCAGCTCGATACAACCTTAGTTAGGCCGCATTTGGAATATTGTGTTCAATTCTGGTTGCCACACTACCAGAAGGATGTGGTAGCTTTGGAGAGGGTACAGAGAAGATTTACCAGGATGTTGCCCGATATGGAGGGCATTAGCTGTGAGGAGAGGTTGGAGAAACTTGGGTTGTTCTCACTGGAACGATATAGGTTGAGGGGCGACCTGATAGAGGTCTACAAGATTATGAAGGACACGGATAGAGTGGACAGTCAGAAGCTTTTTCCCAGGTAGAAGAGTCAGTTACTAGGAGGCATAGGTTTAAGGTGCGTGGAGCAAGGTTTAAAGGTGATGTATAAGGCAAGTTTGTTACACAGAGGGTGGTAGGTGCCTGGAACTCGCTGCTGGGGGAGGTAGTGGAAGCAGATACGATAGTGACTTTTAAAGGGTGTCTTGACAAATACATGAATAGAATGGGAATAGAGGGATACAGTCCTCGGAAGCATAGGGAGTTTTAGTTGTGATGGGCAGCATGTCGGTGCAGGCTTGGAGGGCCGAAGGGCCTGTTCCTGTACTGTAATTTTCTTTGTTCTTTGCTCTGTGCAAGTATAGTTACAGCATTTAGAAGATATTTGGGCAAGTACATGAATAGCAAAGGTTTAGAGGGATATGGGCCAAACACAGGCAAGTGGGACTCGTTTAATTTGGGAAACCTGGTCAGCATGGACAAGTTGGACCGAAGGGTCTGTTTTCGTGCTGAATATATTCTATTCAATGACTCTATGACCGTGGCAGATGGAAATAAATGTAAGAAAGTGTGAGGTTATTCATTTCGGATTGAAAAAGGATAAGTCAGGGTACTTTGTAGATGGTATGAAGTTAAATACAGTGGATGTCCAAAGAGACTTGGCGGTTTGGATGCATAGATCTTTAAAATGTCATAAAATGCAGAAAATAATCAAAGACCCAACAGAATACGGGCCTTTATATCTAGAGAACTGAAGTACAAGGATGTAGAAGTTATACTGCATCTTTTATAAAATCCTGGTCAGACCCCGCATGCAATACACAGAGCAGATCTGGGCAACACACTTTGGGAAGGATATATTGGCCTTGGAGGGAGTACAACATGGGTTTGCATGAATGATACCTGGACTTCAAGGGATAGATTATGAGAAGAGATTACACAATGTAGGCCTGTTTTCTCCAGTATTTAGAAGGTTATGTGGTGATCTGATCAAGGTCTTCAAGATATTAGCTGGAAAAGACCTCATTGGAGGTTCTAGAACTAGGGGGCATAGTCTGAGAATCAGGGCCAGGCTGTTCAGGGGAGATGTCAGGAAGGTCTTCTATACACAAAGGGTGGTAGATGTTTGGAACTCTCTCCCACAAATGGCAGTCGATGCTTGATCAGTTGTCAACTTTAAATCTGATTGTTTCACGAAGAAAGAAATCTAAGCATTAAGTGATATGGACCAAACTCGGGAGTTCAGCCATAGATCAGCCATGACCTCGTTGAATGGTGGAACAGGCTCAAGAGGTTGAATGGTCTGTTCCGATGTTCCAATGTTAAATGAAAGCAAAGCTTCTTTTTAAGCAAGCACAGGTCGCTGGAGCACAAGGTCTGGATGAAACAAAGCAGCAGATGGATAAATGAGACTGGAATCTGAATAAAGGAGCACAAGGTCTGGATAAGGAGTTTGGGAGCTGGCTTAAGGAACTCTGGGAAAAGAAGATCGGTGTTTGGTATATGGAGCTTGGGGAGTGATGTAAGAAGCTCAGAAGATGCAGTAAGGAGATCGGGAGATGGTGTATAGAACTCAGGAGACGGTGTACGTAGCTTGGGAGATGGCATATGGAGCTCGGGGAGGTGGTATATGGAGCTAAGGGGTTAGTATATTGAGCTCATGGGGGATGGCATATGGAGCTCGGGGGGTTTGGTATTGGAGATTAGGGGGATTGTAATTGGAACACGGGGAACATATATGGATTGTATATGGAGCACAGGGGATTGTAAATAGAGCTCAGGGGGATTGTATATGGAGCTTGGAGGGACTAGCATAAAGAGCCTGGTGGGGATAGTATATGGAAGTCAGGGGGATTATATACATGGAGCTCGGAGAGGATGGTATATGGAACTCAGGGGATGGTATATGGAGCTTGGTGGGGATGGCATATGGAGCTCAGGAGGATTGTATATGGAGCATGGAGGATTGTACATGGAGCTCAGGGGGATATTATATGGAGGTTGGGGGGACTAGCATAAGGAGACTGGTGGGGATGGTATATGGAGGTCAGGGGGATTATATATGGAGCTCAGGGGGGATGGTACATGGAACTCAGGGGATGATATATGGAGCTTGAGGGGTACGGTATGTGGAGCTCAGGGGGATTGTAATTGGAGCACAGGGGGAGTATATGGAGCTCAGGGAAATGGTATATGGAGCTTGGTGGGGATGGCATATGGAGCTCAGGGTGATTGTATATGGAGCACGGCAGTTTGTATACGGAGCTTATGGGGAATGGAATATGGAGCTCAGGGGGATGGTCTATGGAGCTTGAGTGGATGGCATATGCAGCTCAGAGGATTGTATATGTTGCATGGTGTGATAGTATATGGAGCTCAGGGAGAATGGTGTATGGAGCTCAGGGGATGATATACGGAGTTCATTGGATTGTATATGAAAGTGTCTCCATCAGTTAGGCTGCACTGACCATTAATCTATCTCCATCTCCTGACTCCACATCATCATTGACCAGCCCATGAGCAAGGTTATCAATTGTCTTAGCTTGTAGTTCAAAGGTCAGCGAATACAGTAAGAATTGACTCTTGTTCAGCAATTTAGTCAGTTCCTAGGAAGGGTCACTCAACCCAAAACATTAACTTTGATTTCTCTCCACTGATGCTGCCAGACCTGCTGAGTTTTACCACACATTTCTATTTTTGCCTCTGATTTACGGCATCCGCAGTTATTTTGTTGTTTAATTTTCTCAAATCCATCAAGATGCAGAAACAGTAATTTAGACAAATCAACAGCCGTGAATATAATCTGCTTTGACCAGCATGGAAACAAAGAAGAGTCATTTGAAAATTAGGCAAGTCCACGGTTTATAATAATACTACTGATTACATGAATAATTAATTATGATTTAATTAAAGCAAAAGGACAGGTAGCTTTAAAACCCTGTCTACAAAGTAGCATTTAGAAATTCAATACAGGTTTAACACAGTTAGTCTTAATAACATGAGCAAAGCAGAAATAAAATGGAACCATATAAAAGTACAAATATTAGTAATTACAGGCTCAGATCTACATTGAGTAAAGGAGCTAGAGGATTGGATAATGGAGCACAAGAGTTGAAAAATGGAGTCCAGGGGTTAGATAAAGGTACATGGGGTTGTCTGCACTGAATACCTCCAAATGAAGCCCTAATGTGGAAAGTAATGAACACCAGGCAGAGGTACCGACCTCTTAAATAGGAGAAAAGGATGGAGAATGAGATCTGGGGTAAACTATGAGAATCTCTCACAGGCTGATGCAAGGTATACCATTACTAAACAGCATCACTGTCTTACTAATTCCAAAACTGATAGTGAAGCTGCACTTGGACCTTCTGAAGCCCAAATTCTTAGACAAGGGCATAAATAGGGAAACTTGCAATTCCACAGCTGTTGCTCCTTCCCCTGGCCATCAGGATGTAGCCAGATTGGCCCCAGTGTTGTCCCCAGCTGGAATAGAAATGCAAACAGAAAGGAATTAAAGGAAGGATGGAAAAGTTGAATGCTAAAAATATTCAATCTTCCCTATCAGAGATTTGGAATATTTTCTTCCCAGATAGAATTTCCACTTTTGGGCAATTTCTGACCTCCTGCTGTAACAGTGCAGGATGAAATGGTGACACTTGATTGCTTCAAGCTTGTAGTACAGAAAGAGCTGGCACAATATGCCTCATCCTAATTCATGAAACCACATCAACATAACCTTCTACTCCTTTCTCCCTCACGTGTTTAACTAGTCATAGATTCATAGAATCATACAGCACAGAAAGAAAACCTTCAATCCAATTTGTCCATGCTGACCAAGTTTACCAAACCAAACGATGCCCATTTGCCCGCATTTGGCCCATATCCCTCTAAACTTTTCCTATTCATGTACCTTTCAAAATGTCTTTCAAATGTTGTAACTGTGCCCGTATCCACCATTTCCTCTGGCAGTTCATTCCACACACAAACTACACTCCGTGTGAAAGCGTTACCTCTTAGGTTCCTTTTAAATCTTTCTCTTCTCATCTTAAAACTATGCCCCCTACTTTTCGACTCCTCCACCCTTGGGAAAAGACCGTTGATTTTCACCATATTTATGCCCTCCCTGATTTTATAAACCACTATAAGGTCACCCCTCAACCTCCTGCACTCCAGTGAAAAGAGTCTCAGGTTATCTAGCCTCTCCTTATCACTCACACCCTCCACTCCCGGCAATATCCTGGTAAATCTTTTCTGAACGCTCTCCAATTTAAAATTGACCTCTAGTTTCCCCCAAGATGCACAGTGCTATTCACCTCATCTATTCCGTGTAGTAACAAGCTCCTCATTTTTACTGTGGTTTCTCCTGAATTGCCCAGTCAGGATGACCCTAGTGAGGGACGTAGGTTGGGGCTGAGTTTTTGAGAGAAGCAAGCAACCTAGGGGATGTAGTGTTGCCCATAAAAGAGGGCATCCCAAGCCTACAGCAAGGATAAAATCCAAACGGTTGTGGGAGGAAGCCCATAATTGCGCATTCATGGATTCGGTAAAGCCTTCAAATGGCAAGTGGACCATTTAAGACCTATCCCTTTGCTGGAGGAATTCAGGCAGACTTGGGGAGGCAATAGGCCACATTACTCATTTTACACATTACTCCCCTCATCCACCCAACCTAATCCCTGCCTCGGAGAGGATAACGGTTCAGCTGCCATACCTATTTTTAACAATATAGTACTTCATTCCTGATTGAATGCCATATCCCACCACAAGTACAGCGTGGTTAAAGGTGTTAGTCCTGCACCTGGGATCGTAATAAACACCTGGAAAATGAGACATACTATTATCACCATTGCAAAAATTCAATCAAACATTCCTCAGAAAGTCTTGATCTAATTGATGTGTTTAGGAGATTGGTGAGTACAGAGAGAAAAAGATTTCCTCTTCGGATACAATCCAGAAGAAAGGGGCTGAATTTTAACATTAGAGTCAGAGGCTGTTCAAGGGTGATCTCCAGAAACATTTCTCCACACACTGGGTCCAAATGGAAAGTTTAAAAACTAAATGAGGCTGTTCTTTAAGGCAATTATATCATTGATTATGTAGTAAGGGGCTGAATTTTATTCTCCCTGTCCTGGGCCTTTCTAATTGGGTGGAAAGATGTAAGATGGATACTCCATTACGTTCGTACAATTGAGACTTCAACCACTTCAGGCCTTATCCAACCAGAGTTTTGTACCAGTGATGGATGGGGGACACACTATGGGGAACAACTACCCAGCAAACATTGTTGAGCCTGAGTGGTAAGCAGGGGGTCCTTCATTATAAGACATTCTGTGACCAATCAAATGTTCTGGCTTTGGGAAGAGGGATCCTCAGGAAGCATCTACCTTTCCCTTTTTGTTGATCCTCACCCCAAACCTGATGGTGCCACCTTCCCATGAATCCCCACCCTACCCATTTACTTCTCTCCACAGGCTCCAGCAATGGTCCTTGGCATTGACCCCAGTGCATTACCTGCAGTGGCCACCCCTCCAAGTGGCGCTGTTGATCCCAGACTGTTGCTGATCTCTGGTTGGATTACAGCTCTTGGAGACTCACTTTTCAGATGGCACGGTGGAGCTAGGAGCCCAGTTCCAACTGCCATTTGGCCTTTTATTCTGGTGGGGCTACTGGAGGTCAGATTGGCAGGGTTACAACCATCTTTGGTGTGCAGTTTTCTTCTCTTTATCTGAGGAAGGATGTTCTGGCTATGGAAGGAGTGCAATGAAGGCTTACCAGACTGATTCCTGGATTGGCAGGACTGGTGTCTGAAGAGAGATCTGATTAGTTAGAACTATGTTCATGAGAGTTTATAAAAATGAGAGGGGTCTCATAGAAACCTATAACATTCTAACAGGACTAGACACGGTAAATGCAGGAAGAGTGTTCCTGATGACTAGGAAATCGAGAACCAGGCACTTACAGTCTAAGTGTATGTGGTAGGATGTTTAGGACTGAGATGAGGAGAAATGTCTATATTCAGCTCTGAATCCAAAACTCAAGATCCACTCCAGGAGTTTATTGTAAACAAAGGTGCATTTATAACATAGCTAGACATATCCAATTGCAAATCCTTCTGGGACAGGCAGTAAAGAATGGGTGAGATTCTTGGTCAGCCATGTGATAGAAAGCCTCCATCATCACTATTTATAATTGCAGGCTGCAGCATTCAAGACATGGGAGACTAACTCCGAGTTTGAACAGCCTGGGTTAAGGGGAAAAAGCTGGAAAGAGTTGGAATCAACCTGGAGGCAATTGGTAATAAATAGCATGGGAAAGGTGGATGTGGAACACAATTCAAATTAAACAATGAGTGTAGAATACTAAGGAAAAGTTTCAACAAGTGAATGATTGCATTCGGAAGCTCCTCTTCATACAGAGATGATTAAAGTTTGGAATGGCGTCAGAGCCATATTGGAGGCTGATATACACTCTGGAATTCTTTAACAAAGACTCTCTTGATAATACAGAACCAGAGTATTGCTGAAACATGAGATATGTTGTTGAATCTTTCCATCTTGCACTCATCAGGACAGAATTGCAAAAATATGAAATCTCAAAGGGAACAACAATTTATACCGCATGAGAAGCATGTGTTGGTTGGTTGGCAAATGGGTTCTGATTGTAGAGATGTTGTCATAGACATTGAACTAGGAAACACCTAACTGTCAAGCACTTGTTTAAATTTAAACCAGGCAAGTTGACTCTGATTCCCTCTCAATGATTCTCAAGTTATTGTCACAGAAAATAAACCACAAAGTGGCTGCCATCCTTGGTTTTGTGGAAAAAGCACAATGTGTGAACATCTGGGGATAAAATTAAATTGAAAATTTACCATCATTAATATGTTTGGAATGTTTAACAAATAATTTGATGCAGCAAGAGGATGGAAACATGGGGACAAATTTCTGATGGATTATGATAGAGGAAATAGGAGATCTAGATCCATTGCTATTCCTCACTATCCAAGCAGCATTTTAAATGCTGAATCCTTAGTCACAATGTCTGCCTGTCACACTTACTTTCCAACTTTTACTGGTGTGTCAAGGAGAGGACTAGTATTTCACCACAGAAAGGTCAACAATAATGACCCCTTCCATCCAATGGTTCCTGAATCTGCTGATCTAGGAGGGTTTGACTATTTGCTAATAGATGGGCAGTTGTCTCCTACAGGTCATTGAAAGTCAAAGGTTGTTCACTTCCATTGTTTGTCTGGTAAGAGCCCATCCTCTACCTCCCAAGTGCCACTTAAACACCCTCGTGAAATCAGACCGTCTGCTATGAATTGGAGGTGTTATGGTTGGCAGGAGAACTAGTGGGGTGCTCACCTGAGCTGTAAAACTGCCAAGATTCCAGGCCTGCATCAATCACCACGGCTATAGGTCCAATTTCAGCCACTGCTCTGGTCAAAGCTTCTTCATCTCCATATGGAAGTGTTTTATAACTCGAGACAGAAACCACACTGTTAGAAGCATTGTATTTGCAAGATTTGCCTTCCTTTGTGGGAGAAAAACAGAGAGGAAATTATACACAGCAGACCAACTGGCCTTAGGTTAGTGCAAACTGTGGGTAACACATATACCTCTGCATGGCACAATATTGTAGCTTCAACACCACCACTCCTGAGATAGGATAAAGAATCTGGCCTGATACCTCAGGGAGTGCAGCACTGTCAGAGGTGCTGTCTGTTGGATATGATGTTAAACCAGGACCTTGCCTGCCCTTTTTGGTGATGTAAGCGATGCTGAGGAATGACTAAGAATCTCACTACATCACATATTCTCAGGGCATCTCAAAACACATTCTAGCCAATGAGTCATTTTTTTTCACGTTTAGTCTTTTGCAACACAACATCCGATTTACGCATACAAGATCCTAAATGTAATATGGTGAGTTACCCCACTTTGATCTGAATGATACTCGTTGAGGGATAAGTATTAACCAGAATCTAGAGGGAATGTGTCTCCTCTTCAGCTACATTGTGCTATGGGATCATTCATGTCCACCTGATGAGAGTCCTCACCTTAAATTCTTACAAAGATAGCAGCTCAAACAGTGCACCAGTCCCTGGTATTGCAGTGGAGCCATAACATTGCGTTCCTCATTCTGTTCTATTACCATTATGTTCTTTGGATGGTAAGATCTGCCTGTACTGCACACAAAACAAAACTTTTCACTGTACCTTGGTACATGTGACAATAATGAAGCAGATCAAAAAAAGATTCAGAGGTGAGATTGCTACTCACTGAGTCCCACAAGTGACACACAGAAGATAAAGCAAGTGTTAGATTAGTCTGTTTCATGTTGTTATGTAAAAATGTTTAATTCCATACTGCAACTGATTGCGCTGCTTACTCGTACTCCTTCAGCAGGCAGATTGAGCCTTGATTTAATATTTCAAAATACAGCATTCCTTATGGTCAAACAAACGGACAATATCAGTGAGAGGTTCAAGTACTTGAATGGTCTATAAATCCTGACATTTCTGAATCTGTGGTGTGGCTGTAGTCAACTGAATCAAGTAACAAATATCTCAGTGCTGCCTCTGCATCCTGCTATGTTCTCCTGGCTGCCTTATTTATCTGTGTAACTAATGTTGTAAATCACTGCCCTTGAAGTGCTTGAGGTAAAAAATCTTTAAAATGTATGTTCTTTGTATGTTTTTTGAAATTTTAATTGGTGAGACATTTATTCCATTTGGAATTACAATGTACAATGAACAGTGTAAACCAAGGTAGAGGGGAGTGTAGTGGTGGGGCTGCATTTTAATAAATTGGTGCTGGTTTAAAACAAACACCAATGCTTGAACATATTTGAAGCGTGGCTCAATGTTGGAATGGTGAAACTAGGAAACAGGTGTACCTTTGCAGTGTACGCATAGGTGGACTCAGCTTCAATTCCCCCATTCTCACGGACATAGTCAAAGGCATTCAAAGACCAGCCACCACTGCATCCGAAAGCTCCATGACTCCTTGAGCAGTCAATGAGGTTCTGTTCACTCAAGGCAATGAGTCTGCCCGTCTTCTTAAACAACTGCCCCTCCAGCACCCCAGTGGCACTGAATGCCCAGCAACCGTTGCACTGACCCTGATGACAAAGATTATAAGTTTCAGTTTCCATGTTGAGCCTTGAACAGTTAGTTCAAACTCTCTCTACAGCTCAGCACTGAAAGATAGCTTCACAAACTCAGGTGTCATCCTTCACATAAGATGTTAAACCAATGTCCTATCTGCTTCTCTTGGTGAACCGTAATATTTTTCAGGCAAAACATGGTGAATAAAATCCATAAATGGACATAGATGTGGATAGAACAAAACAAGGTCATTCAGCCCATCATATTCATTCTTAGAGAACCCAATTACTTTACTTTTCCTTTTCAACTCTCTCTGCTTCAATTTAATCTCTTTAAAAGTTGCAATGGTCTCTTCCTTAACCATCCCTCTACCAAAAACTGACAATGACTTTTCTTTCTGTATATGTAGAACCTTTATCATAGTAAATGGTTTTAAAGTAGTTTTGAACTAGTTCACAGGAGTGTTTTCAAGCAAATTTGACACTGAGCTATGCTCAGGTGGTTTATGTTTTTCTAAATGGAGGAAAATGAAGAAGAGAGTTGGAGAGGTTTAGCGAGAGAGAGAGAACTGTAGAGTTTTGAGCCTTAGCAAATAAAGGCCTGGATATCAATGACATTAAAATCAGGGATGCTCAAAAGACTTGAGTTAGTGGAGTTATCTTATTGGGCTGGAACATATTATAGCAATCAGGATAGTTGAATCCATGGAAAGATTTTAAATTCAAGGTGTTGTTTAAGCAGGACCTAATGTGAGTCAGTAAGCATAAGAGTGGAATGAAGGGACTCCTTGTGATTTAGGACATGGATAACAGAGTTTGGATGATCTCAAGATTGGATCTAACCTTGAGTGCATTGGAATAATCAAATCTAAAGGTAACAAAGGCATGGATGAGGGTTTCAGCAGCAGATCAGTGGAGGAAGCAGGAGTAGAATTGAGCAATGTTACGAAGGTTGAAATAAATTATTTTAGTGAATGACATTTTTATATGTGTTCAGAAGCTCAATGTGGGATCAAATCTGATACTCCTTGAACAGGCTGATACAACGTCTGACAATGACAAAGTGAGGGCTGGAGCTGGTGGCTAAAGATTTTGTGGTGGGCACCAAATTCCTTATTTACATGTGGAGGAAACACCCTACAATAAGATGAGATGTTGTTCTGGTAGCTTTGGTTAAGTACTGTCAAACACACTCGGGATATGAAGGACAGAGGGAATAGGAGCATGAGAATGCTATTCGGACCTTCAGCCCTGCCCGGTTTTTCAATAAGATCAGGACTAATCTGCTTCACAACTCAGTTCCTTTTTTGTACCATTGATCTCAACTCCCCGACACTTCAAAAATCTATTCACCTCCTCTTTCAATACTTTGTGATCTATCTTGTGCTGCTCTTTGGGTTGCATTCTCCAATACCCTCTGGGAGAAGAAATTCTTTTACATCTCCGTTTTATATGAGTGACCCCCTTATTCTGTAACTGCCCCCTCGTTTGAGATTCCCCCACTAGTGGAAACATCTTCTCAATATTCACTCTGTCAAGCTCCTGCAGAGTGTTATATGATTCAATAAGATTATCCCTCGCTATTCTAAACTTTGATGAACAAAGACCTAATTTATTTAGCTGTTCATGATAAATCGACCCCTTCATCCCAGGAAGCAAGCTACTGAATCTTTTTTGAGCCGTCTCCAATATTATACATCCTTTCTTAACTACAAGGAGCAAAACTGTACAGGGAGCTTCCCTGCTCTTTGAAGAAGAACAGGTTACTGAGCCAAACAATAATGCAAAAATGATTCAGAAATCCTGAAGCAATAGCCATGCATTGAAGCAACAAAATAGAAGATTAGGAACCTGGTACTTTGGGGAGGTAACGTAACCAGCTGTGCGCCAGTCCACACTCTCTGGAATACGGCGAGAATGTCGGGCCTTAGTTGCTTCTCGTGTCTGGTTGTTCACTAGCAAAGCTTTCCTCTCATGTGTGTGGAATAATTGAGAAAACTCTTTTGCTGTCTGAAGGAAAAGAAAGAAAGAAAGATTTTATACAGCACATCCAATACCGTTGGGATTTAGGAAGTAGCTGCCAATTTATGCACAGCAACTCTCACGGACAATAATGGGGTAAGTGACCACATAACCTTTTAATAATGTTGTCTGGAGTATCAATATTGACCAGAAAACTGCCCCTGTTCTTTATGTTGTTTGTATGTGGAGTTTTAGATGCTGTTTTGGATGCAGTATTCGATAATAGAAATAGGACAATGTTTGTATCTGTGCCATAAAACAATTTTTTTAATTTGCAGCATGCCGTCTTTAAACATTCGGACTCAGCACAAAGTCTAAGCTTTTGTTTCTCTAGCATTTTATCGCTCTGGATCATAGTGGCTATAGGGGAAGTGGTAGCCTAGTGGTATTATCACCGGACTATTATTCCAGAGAGCCAAATAATGTTCTGGGGGCTTGGGTTTGAATCTCTTCATGGCAGATGGTGGAATTTGATTTAAATATAAATCTGGAGTTAAAAGTCTAATGATGACCATGAAACTATTGTCAGCACAAACCCAGCTTGGTTCATGAATATAAATTTGGAAAGGAAATTGCCATCCTTATCTGGTCTGGTCTATATGTGACTCCAGATTTAGAGCAATGTGGCTGATCTTTAACTGCCCTCGAGGCAATACATTCTGGCCTAGCCAGCAATGCCTTCATCTTGTAAATGAATTACCAAAAACAGATTCTGTGATGATTTACTTTTTGAACATGTGCCCTCAAGATAGAAGCAATGCTGGCAAAATGACATTTAGAGTCATAGATGTCAAGATCTATACAGCATGGAAACAAGCCCTTTCGTCCAACTTGTCTATACCAACCAAATATCCTAAATAAATCTGGTCCCATTTGCCAACATTTGGCCCATATCCTTCCAACTCCTTCCTATTCATACACTGATCCAGATGCCTTTTAAAAGTTGTAATTGTACCAGCCTCCACCACTTCCACTGGCAGCTCATTTCTTACACACACCGTCCTCTGCGTGAAAAAAGTTGCCTCTTTGGTCCTTTTTAAATCATTCCCCTCTCACCTTAAACCTATGACCTTTAGTTTTGGACTCCTCCACCCCGGGGAAAAGATGTTGACTATTCATCCTATCCATGCCCTTCATGATTGTACAAACCTCCACAATGTCAACTCCTCAGCCTCTGACACTCCAGGGAAAATAGCCCCAGTCTATTCAGCTTCTCCCTATATCTTGAATCCTCCAACCATGGCAACATCCTTGTATATCTTTGCTGAACCCTTTCAAGTTTCACAACATCCTTCCTATAGCAGTGAGACCAGAATTGGATGCAGTATACAAAAATTGGTCTAACCAATGTCCTGTACAGCTGCGATGTGCCCTCCCAACTCCTATACACAATGCACTGACCAACAAAGGCAAGCATATCAAACATCTTCTTCACTATCCTGTCAATCTGAGACTCTACCTTCAAGGAACTATGAACCTGCACTCCAAGGTCTCTTTGCTCAGCAACACTCCCCAGGACCTTACCATTAAATTAAAAGTCCTGCCCTGACTTGCCTTTCCAAAATGCAGCACCTCATATTTATCTAAATTAAACTCTATCTGCCACTCCTCAGCCCATTGGCCCATCTGATCAAGGTCCCATCATACTCCTAGATAATCTTCTTCGCTGTCCACTACACTTTCAATTTTAGTGTCATCTGCAAACTTACTAACCATACTTCTTATGTTCATGTCCAAATCATTTAAATAAATGAAGAAAAGCAATGGACCCAGGACTGTGGCACATCGCTGGTCAGAGGTCCTCGGCCTGAAAATCAACCCTCCACCACCACCTTCTGTCTCCTACCTTCAAGCCAGTTGTGTATCCAAGTCGCTAGTTCTCCCTTTATTCTGTGAGATCTTACCTTACTAACCAGTCTATCAAGCCAAACCTTCTCATAAGCCATACTGAAGTTCATAAAGATCACGTCCACCGCTCTGCTCTCATCAATCCTCTTTGTTACATTTTCAAACAACTCAATCAGGTTAGTGAGACACAATTTCCCATGCGCAAAGCCATGTTGACTATCCCTAATCAGTCCTCTCCTTTCCAAATACATGGAAATCCTATCCCTCAGGATCCCCTCCAACAACTTACCCATCACTGATACCAGGCTCACCGGCCTTTGGTTCCCCGGCATTTCCTTATCCACTTTCTTAAATAGTGGCACCAAGTTAGCCAACCTCCAGTCTTCTGGCACTTCACCTGTGGTTATTGATGATACAAATATGCCAGCAAGGGGCCCCGCAATCACTTTGCCAGCTTCCCACTGAAATCTAGGGTACACTTGATCATGTCCTGGGGATTTAACTACCTTTTTGCTTTTTAAGCCATCCAGCACTTCCTCCTCTGTAATATGGACATTTTTCAAGCTGTTTCTATTTATTTCCCCATATTCTCTATCTTCCATATCTTCTGTAAATACTCATGCAAAATACTTATTTAGTATCTCTCACATTTGATGCGGTTCCACACACAGGCAGTCTTGCTGATCTTTAAGGGGTCCTATTCTCCCCTTATTCTTATTCTTATGTCCTTAATGTATTTGTAGAATCCCTTTGGATTCTTCTTAACCATACTTACCCTGTAACCCTATCTCATGTCTCCTTTTTTGCCATCCTGATTTACCTCTTAAGTATACTCTTACTGCCTTTATATTGTTCCAGGGATTCACTCAATCCCTGCTGCCTATACCTGACATATGCTTCCTCATTTTTTCTTGACTGAAATCTCAATTTCTCTAGTCATCCAGCATAGTCATCAAGCATTCCCTACACCTACCAGCATTGCTCTTCAACCTAACAGGAACATACTGTCCCTGGACTTTCGTTATCTCATGTTTGAAGGCTTCCCATTTTCCATCTGTCCCTTTACCTGTGAACATCTGCCCCCTATCAATTTTTGAAAGTTCTTGTCTTATACCATCAAAATAGAACTTTAACTTTTAGATCCTTTTCCATCACTATTTTAAAACTAATAGAATTACCGTCACTGGCTGCACAGTGCTCCACCACTGATACCTTAGTCACCTGCCCTGCCTTATTTCCCAAGAGTAGGTCAAGTTTTGCACCTTCTCTAGTTGGTCCACCCACATACTGAATCAGAAAATTTTCTTGTACACTCTTAACAAATTCCTCTCAATCCAAGCCCTTAACACTATGGCAGTCCCAGTCTATGTTTGGCAAGTTAAAATCCCATACCCTAACCCCTCTATTATTCTTACAGATAACTGAGATCTCCTTACAAATTTGTTTCTCAGTTTCCCACTGACGGGTCTATAGTACAATCCCAATAAGGTGATCATCCCTTTCTTACTTCTAAGTTCCACCCAAATAACTTTCTGGATGTATTCCCAGGATTCTAGCATTTATACCCTGGAACATTAAGCTGCTAGTCCTGTCCATCCCTGAGCCACGTCTCTGTAATCGCTGTGATATCCCAGTCCCATGTCACCTACCATGCCTTCAGTTCATCTGCCTTACCAGTCAGGCCTCTCGTTTTGAAATAATGCAATTTAATGTATCAGTCCTACCTCATTCTCTGCTGTGTTCCTGTCTGTTTGACCTGCTCCTTTTCCCAACTGCACCAGCCGCAGACTGATCTCTTTTCTCAATATTTCTCTGGGTATCCCCCCCATACTAGTTTAAATCCTCCCGAGCAGATATAGCAAATCTCCCCGTCAGTATATTAGTCTCCTTCCAATTCAGGTGCAATCCATCTTTCTTATACATGTCACTTCTAACCCAGAAGAGATTCCAATGATCCAAAAATGTCAATCCTTTTCCCTTGCACCAGCTTCTTAGCCACACCTCCATTTGCTCCAACACCCTATTCCTACCCTCACTAGCTCATGGCCCTGTGGGTAATCCAGATATTACTACCCTCAAGGACCTACTTTTTAAATTCCTGCCTAACTTCTTATATTCTCTCTCTGAATTTTGTCCTTTATTCTTCCTATGTCATTAGACCTCCTGTTCGTCTCTCTCCCCTTTGAAAATATTCTGCACCGTCTCTGAGACATCCCTTATCCTGGCATCTGGGAGGCAACATACGATTCTGATGTCTTATTGTCAGCCGCAGAAACGTTTGTCTGTGCCTCTGATTTGAGAGTCCCCTGTCACAATCGATCACTTAGAACCTGAGGCAGCCTCATTACATTAGAGCCAGTCTTGGTACCAAAAACCTGGCTGTCAGTGCTACATTCCCCTGTCAGCGCCTCATCCTCTACATTTTCCAAAAAAGCATACTTGTTTGAGATGGGGATAGCCACAGGAGACTCCTGCACTACCTGCTTACCTATCCTATCTTTCCTGGAGGTAACCCATCTACCTGACTGTTTCTTCAGTTTGTCTCCTTCCCTGCAACTGTCAGCCATCACACCCCCTAACTCCTGTAAGCTCTTCATTGCCTGTAACTGCTGCTCCAACCGATCCATGCAATCCGATAGGATTTGCAACAAAACACACTTCCTACAGACATAACCATCAGTAGCATGGAAATTCTCCCTAATTTCCCACATCTGACAGGAAGAGCATGTCATTTTACTAAAGGCCATCTTTGTAGCTGAACAGTCTACAGACCCAGAAATTAGCACAGTCTTATTGCTCTCAAAACACTGCTCCATGCTAACTCAGTACCTATGTTTTATATTTTTAAAGTTTAATCAAGAGACAGATCTTAATAAAAACATATAATCAAAAAAGAATCTACTCTACTCACTATTGTAGATTTACAAAAAAAACTGTAAGATTACACTTTAAAAACTAACCACTGAGCTACTCCCCTTTTGTGAGCTCTCCCACGCAGGTTTCTCCAAGGTCAGCTGTGAATGTCACTGTTTGCTTATTTTTCTTAGACTGACTCAGATGTCCAGAGATACTTGAAACTAAATCACAGAGGCAGTCAGCTGTGCAGGTTCGCTGCTGGGTCAGACAGCTGTGCAGGTTTATTTCTCCATTTGTTTCACCTCCCACGTGGTCCCTGCTTTGTCTCTCTTCCTCCTTTTTAAAGCACCTGTATTTATTGCTCATTGACCTGAGTTGACCTGAGTAGTTGACCTGAGAGCATTAAGAGCCAATTATGTAGTGTAGGACAGAGTGATATGTGACTGAGTAAGGTTTGTGTAGCAGATCCCCGTTCTTGTGCAGGGCTTTCACAAAAAAACCAGGAATGCATTTACCTGATGCTAACCCACAAATTACTGGATTCTATCAAATTCCATTTCTCAACTTATCCTGGTGGAATTTAAATTCTAAACACTGGGTTCTGAGTTTAACCAATAGGCCACCTTAACCCAGGATATCACTCACCAAATCACCAAAACTATTCATGACCATCATAAATGTCAAATTTTGTTGTTGCTCATTATGCTCCTTAATTTTCCTCAGATTTTCCAGCCAGATTCCTTTTCTGAGAGCCTCTGTTTTCTGCACATAGAACAGTGAGAAATTAAGGTGTTGTCCTCATGAAGACATGTCTACATTTCAATAGCGCCGCTCGAGATCTCAGTGTGTCTTAGAGTGTTGTACAGCCCATTACTTTCAAAGTGTAGCTGCTTGAATATTGGCTGGGCCGCCAGCCTGAATGTCACTGCTGTTTCTCAGTGAGGGATCTTCTTTATCCATCTGAGAGGGCAAACACAGCCTTGGTTCAACACTTTATTGGAAAGGTGGTATCTATGACAGTGCAAATGATTAACAATATTGCTGTGAGAGGTGTCAGTATGGATTATGTGTGCATTAGTCTGAAACCTACCCAGTTAGAAGTGGGTCATCTGATGCACTCATATGCAGGGCAACACCCTGGAAGAGAAAGCTCAAAAGTGGAGATTGGCTTGAAAACGCATCTCCATGTTGCTTAGTCTTGGTGAATCCAGTAGGTTTACTCTGACAACACCGTCCATTTTGTGGGATCTGCATGTCAAGACACAGCAGAGCTTGCACTGGGCTCCTGGGATATAAAATTTAATTTGTCTGTCCTTGCGATGTCTATTAATTGCGATGTTTTTGGAACCTGGTCAAAATGCTAACATTCAACCAAGCAGTTAGGGAGTTAAATCTATGGGAAAATGGGCCTGGGAGATGTAGGTGAGATGGAATGTCTGTACCAATCCGTTACAAATAATAAAAAATAATTTGACATTCTTGTGATCGGCGAACATTCTCACTGACAGAATTCTATTCACTTGAACTTATTGTCGTGAGTCTGTTGGATTCCAGTCTTGGGAAAGGCAGTTTGACTGAAAGGTGAACCGAAGTCAAAACCACCAGGAAGAGGAAGTAGTGCCCTAGGTCAAAGGCCAAAATTCAGAGAACATTTTCTTGGTAAATAATTCTGGAAACACTTCTTCTACGTCAGTCAATAAGCTGTTCAGAAGGAAGTGAAAGTGTGTGGTGGGGGCATGGGCTGCATGGATAAAGCTCCCATCTTCTTGTCAACATGATTGGAGGTTTCTAAATCTGGGCTTGGAGTCATTACATTGCGAATGGAGGCATTCGGCCCATCAAGTCCCTGCCACTTCGATGGATGCGGCTTGCAATTGCAGTCTATGAGATGCTTTCCATTGTAAAGAGCAACCATCTTTTACTTTTCTTTAATTTGGACTGTGAATCAAATTGGGAAAAGGATACTGCTGTAAATTAAGGACTGTGGAAGGAGTCACTGCCCTTTTAAAAACAAGAAACTGGAACTCTTGTGTGTTCTGTTTACACTGTTCCATTGTTCAGACATTTAATTAACGGGCATTAAAGCTTTTTCAGCACAAATAAAGTTTAGATTAAGCATGAAATTAATTATAAGGCAGCATTTTACAGTGTATGATTATTTTGGGGCAAATTCATTTAAAGGTGTAAGAGAAAATGTTAAGAAATTAATCCAAACTTCAGCCAAGGATCCAGTGAGATCTTA